AAAAAAAAAAAAAAAAAAAAAAAAAAAAAAAAAAAAAAAAAAAAAAAAAGACCAGACTGGGATACATAGTGAGACCCTGTCTCAAAAAAAAAGAAAAAAAAAATGCAGAAAAAAACATTTTAATCTGTGCTAATAACAAAAACTGAAAAGTGAACTATTTTTTAAATTAAATGTCAAATAGTAAGAGGCCCACTTCGATAAAAATGGACAAACAGGAAAAATAAAAATCTCTTGACCCAGAAATCTGATTGAAAAAAAATAAAACTAAAACCAACTCTTCACTTGTAATGAGAGCTTCAATACAGTGAATGCACTTTGGAGAACCATCTTTAACTCAGTTTTAGTCAAGAAAAAGAATGGATAGAGGGTTTTCTCTTTTTTTTCCCTACTCTGACGGTAAGAATCTCTAAGTAGGGTTTGCCTTCTTCAGAATAACCTAAATTAACAAAAACAAAAGTTCCTACTAGAATCTGGGTCATGATTTTAAATGGCTTTTAAACTTTTAAGACAAATGTGTAAATAAATTACATTTATTTTTCTGGTATGGCTATTCTGAAATGTATATTCATAGCGCTATAGTTCTTTCTTTTCTGTATTCACAGGAAGTAACACTTCATTACAGACACATCCATAACAACAACATTTCGATTTTATTGCTGTTAGGGTAATGAAGATTATAAAACTCTATGGCTTACCTTGCCAGTAAAATCATAGGGAAATTATGGTAAATGTGATCTTTCAACAAAACTTCATCTATTAATTTTGGAGAAAAAAAAGTCTCTTTATTTTGTATAGTAGCATTAAAACACACACACACACACACACACACATGCATGCACACACACACACTTACTTAGAAATCTAAGTATTTCCTACTTGAATAAAACTTTCATATTTTAGCACAAAAAATTCCTTCTATTAACACAAATTTAAGATAACTTTAATTGAAGAAAATGTTCATTAACAATGAACAATGCTTACCATTCTTTAAACATGATATACATTATTAATATATACTATATATTTCCAATTAACTCCATTCTTAGGCTCAATTTAAGAAACACAATTTTAACAGGTTTTATACAAAAAAATACTTCACTAAGAAAGTAGATAAACTGCACAAAAACAGTACAAGTATAATCTGCATAGCAAGATAGCTTGAAGCATCTATGTATGGCTTTCTTTAAAACAAAACTATTAGGGGAGTGGGCCCATTTGGGACTTACTGTTACAGTTGACACATGTAAACTGTTTCACATCTTTTTTAGGCACTTGCTAACAATAGTGTTCAATCCCTGAAAAATCAATTTACTTAAAAAAATCTACACCTGAAATAAAACCAAGAGAATAACATGAATAGTCTTGTACATATATTCTTTTTAAATTAAACAACCAGTTTTATTAGTGCATGCACAGAACTAAACGAAAATAAATTTTTGTCCAAAACTTTCTGTGCAAAATTTACATAATAAAGTACAAAAATTATGTACAAATTTTTGTTATATACAGAAAAAAGCCCTGAAGTTTTTATCCAATTAATGAAAATATCATTAACACTTATAGTAACAATGTAACAAAGAATTATATAGCACATAATTTTGTAATATAAGAACTTCATTATCCAATGATCTAACAAAACTTGACATAAGCCTACAAGATGAAAATTGTAAATCTACTGACTACTGTAATGAAAATGGTCATTTGGAAACTCTAGTAGGTATGTCTCTTGGGAATCTGTCCTAAAGTGTTATGAAATGCCACTGTGTCCACTGTTAATGCTTTCCTACTTTCAAATATCAACAATCAGTATGTATCTGCTCTGGACTGTCAAGCCATACCAAAAATTATTAACAAAAGTAGTTTATCTAGCTGGGCTTGGTGGCACGTTCCTGTAATCCCATCAATCAGGAGGCCAAGGCAGGAGACAGTGAGTTCAAGGACAGCCTGGACTATACAGCAAATTCAAGTTAAAAACAAAAACACATACATGCAGCCAAAAAGTTTGTCCTACTTAGAACATGTTTAATAATAGTAATTAAACACACAAACATGTGATCTACTTTGTTAATCTTGCTTCAAAATATCATGTAAAAATTTATTTTCAAGAGAAACCATTCCCTTTTAAGTGCTTCTGTGTTCCATGGTTTTAAAAGGGATGGTAATCACACACACACAAAAAGACGTGTTTGGTTGACAGGGAAAAAATTTAAATCAGGCATAGTTCTATGTAAGGGTATTACTGGAAAATATAATCCAATTTGGAAAAATGCTGAAAATTATGAGTTGGGTTTTAAAACTAAATAATGTTTCTCTTGAGGCTGCCCATCTACTGCCACACAGTCATTTAGAAAAAGAAAATCACCTTAGGTGTTCCAAACTCTGATATGGGACAGAGCATAAGAAGAAACAAGATTTACCTGCCCCAAATTCTTCAACTATTATTTAAGATATAACTATAGTCAGTTAAAAGTACTTTTTAAAGGAGTCTCATACCCTTCACATGAACTGAATTTATTAGCAATGTACAGTAACTTCTTTCCTCAGGCTTTCTGTATCTTTATAAGTGATGAGAAACTCCCCCAATTTACACTGTGAAAGAGCTCTCCATCTTCAGATGAGCTGTATTTATCAGATTCATAAGGCTAGTGGAAGAAGAGTGGGGAAGAAGTTATCTGCCTGTTACCTGTGCTAACAGTGTCTAAAGAAGTAAGTTGGAAAAACTGATCAAAATTTTCTCTAACTGTAACTTCCCACAAACACATCTTTAAAAAATTAAATCAAGATACATCAGTGTTAATTATTTTTTTCAAAACTTATGTGTGCAGTGATGGCATCATCAAGTACCACACACAAAGCTTTTGCTCTTCCATGGAAATATAACTTTAAAAATATCGCAGGAACTATTCTGAGTAGAAAATGTCCATATCATGATAAACCACTGTTTTCTTCTAATTTTACTTTTCCTCAATAATTTTGGTAAACTATTCCAACACATTCCAATCCCGAGTAGCTTCCATTAAATGTCTCTGCCCATGACCAGCCCAAGCATCCTGATTGTCAAATACTCTACCACAAAACCAACAGTTAAACCTAGCTTTCAGAACATTTTCAGAGGTAGTTTTCACAATCTGATAATTGTTTTTGCTTGTCTTTTTGAGTGTTAGTTTGAGCACAAATCTTTCTTTCACAGAAGTAACAGGTTTAAATGTTTTATGCCTCTTGAAAAGATCAAAAGATGTTTTAGAAGGGTTATAACAAACTGGTTCTTGTAAAGCACTTACAGTTCTTTTTGACAATGAAACCTTAACTATGTGTCCATTAAATTTGGTGACAGTTTTCATTACATTTGCTACTTCTGGTGTATCTGCATCAGGATGGTTCAAAACCACAACGGGTTGGTTTTTCCTAGGACATTTCACAAGCTGTGTAGAATGAAAAGGGAAAAGTCGTAAAATTCTAACTGAATCTTTTGAATGCCTATGTCTGCTAAATCCAAAAGTTTCATGCACATCTTCAGCTTTAGCCTTTTTTTTACACTTTCGATGCAATGCTGACTTTTTCCTTGGAGGTTCTTCTTGGTAACTATCCTTACACTTTCTTTTACAGTTTCTGTTTCTAGATAAAAAAGAAGTTTCAGAATCATTGCTTCTGATGTGACTTGTTATTTTTGAAAAATTTCTCTTAGAAGTTCTTCTATTGAAATTTCTCTCAATCATACAACTTGTTTTACACGTTAATATTCTGGCCTCTGAATGGTCACTGATACGTATTGGTTGCTCAGAAGATTCTGGGCATGTTGTAGTAGAAGTTATAACAATTTCATTTGCTGGCGTCAAATCATCTATTAAAATGGGTAAGGCATCTCTAGAAGATTCAGGCTCTTTCTGCTCTACAGTCTGATTAGAAGGTACACTGTCTTTCTGAAATGAGGATACAGAGCTGGTAACTGGCATGTTATTAGCAGCAGTAACATTTAAAACAGGGTTAAAAATTTTCAATAATATTTTTTGTGGTATCCCTTCAGATCTCTTTGGTGGTATATTTTGATAATAAGCACTATTTTGGACTAACTTGGATTTAAGCAGCTCAGTGTTATTTGGCATTACAAACTTTAACAAAACAGCTTGTTTCCCGTCAGGCAAAAGAGTATAAAGGGGAGATTTTGGAAAATTTTCATTCTGCTGTTTTACTGAATCCAAGACATTCAACTTTGTGCCTTGCTCCTCAGACACAAAATTAGTAGGGACGGCTTTCCTAGAAGAACTTAATGTTTTTAGAAAATAAGGGCCTTTTAATGGCGATGTATTTTCTGAGCTACTTTTCATGCTCAAACAACTGCCAATGCTGGAACAAAGTGCAGGTGTAAGACAATTTCTGTTTTGTTCAACCTTTAAAATAGATGTTCTGGAAGGCTCCTTTGTCATAATTCCACAAGCTGGTATATTCTCAGTTTTCACAGTGGAAATATCTTCAGGTTTCCTATTATTAAGTGTCAAAATAATCCCAGGTTTCTTGCTTAAAAGAAGAGAAGCAGGTACACTTTGTGTATTAACCAGTGGAAGTGGTCTTCCTGAAACAACATGGAATCCAGGCTGCTTAGCGACATGCAAGGGTATAAAAAAAC